GCCTAGAAAATCCCATTCATGCTCGATGGGATTGAGATCCGAAGATCGTGTCGGCCTTCCATACGTTCAATATTCTCACTCTCTAAGAGCTGTTAGGCAGCTACTGTGCGATGACATGGTGCATTGTCGTCCATGAAAAGGAACTGCGGACCCATAGCGCCTCTAAAAAGACGCACATATGGAAGAAGAATCTCGTTACAATAACGGGTCCCGTTGACTGAACCTGCGTCGAAGATGTGAAGGTCTGTACGACTACCAAGCATGATGCCTCCCCAAACGAGAACACCGCCACCTCCATACATGTCCCTTTCAATGATGTTCGAGGGATGATTGCGGCTTCCCCGCTCTCTCCAGATGAGTATGCGATGAGAATCGTTACTCAGACTGAATCTGCTCTCATCTGTAAAGAGTACTCGTCCCCATTCATTGTCTCTCCAATTCCGGTGTTCCCGGCACCACAGAGAACGCCTTCTCCGATGGGCAGGCGTTAGAGGTACACACCGTACAGGGCGTCGTGCAAACAGACCACCACCTTGCAGTCTTCTGGCCACGGTAAAACGCGATATCGGTTGTCCAGTCGCCTGTGTCGTGTGTCTAGCGATTTCTCCCGCTGTCTGCCGCCTGTTTCTTCTGGCCTGTAAGGCAATATACCGGTCATCTGCGGGTGTGGTTCCTCGTGGACGACTACTACTAAACCCCCGGATAGCTGTTCCTGTAGTTTGAAATTGTCTCCAAAGTCGTGAAACGATGCTGTGAGCAATTCCGAACTCTGCAGCCACACTTGTCACACTGCGGCCTTCCTCCAACTTCCCAATGATTCGACCTCGTCTTAAAAGCATCCAGATGTCGTCTAACAGATTGATTATTCGCCATTTCTCGCTGAGGCAGCAACTCGGTGTGATTTTAACTGCTATACGGAGTGCAATCTCTTTGCCAGAAATACTGATCTTACACCGACAACATGCTTTATACTACTCAGACACTCCCCCATTACGTCTACCTGCATATCTGCGCATGTGCTACCGTACATCACCTTACTTAATCTCCTGATTGGTCTTTCTGTCCGCTCTGCCTCTTCGTTCAGCTGATATGCTAATTTTCGACTTCGTCCTTAATTTTTGTACACCAGTGTATGTAATTCATACATAAATACATTTTATTTCTTTATAAGAGTATGTAATGTTTATTTTTGTTTATTTAGGAATGAAATATAAAACAAAATTAAAGATACAAAAATCGTTATTTGTTTCAATAAATTATTTTCTTCATTTTTACTTCCATGTACGAAATAAAAGAAGTGTTGCAAGGAAAGAAAACTTTTTATTGTTTTTAACGTTCTTTATAGTTGTAATTTGAAGTACAAGGGCTAATTGTGTTCTGTGATACTGTACGAGTACTTTAGGGCAAATTCCCAGAACTTTTAATTGATTTTACTTCATTGAAAAGGAAGTACTGAAATGGCGAAAATTTTTGGATATCATATTTAAATGAAAACATCCATTTTGATCCCTCTCGAATCCATTTGAAGGATTATTTTGTGTTACATCTGTACGTGTGGAAATCCGTTTGGCCACTTGTGCTAAGGTCGGATGCCATCTCACCAGAAGAGTTGTACGTGTGGACAGAATAAAGGACTTTTTCCTGTGTATATGTATCTCGCATACATCAAACAAATGTAGCCGTAGGACGTTGAAATTTTATATATGGACTGCTAAAACATGTAGTTTTGCATCTTCTTTTTTTGTTGCAATCGGCCACACCAAACATGTGTGTAGTGTGTATATATATATCCCCACACACACAAGGGTATATACATAAATGTATATACCCTTTCTGTTACTCAGCTCCATAAGCTATGTCTTTTATTCTTATAAAATTTATTTTATTCTATTATTCTTTAATTTGATAAGTTGTATATTTTTTACTTTAAAAGTGATTGAATTATGATGCTCTTATGTTCTGGTTAATGTTTTTATACCTTTACTTAATCTGCATACAATAGTTGTAGAATTATCAACAATTTAAAGATACGATTGTCCTAACGAGGCTGCTATTCGTTTATATTTGAAACTCTTAATATAACAGTGAATTAAGTCCCGTTTTTACCTTTTAAAACCGAGGGACCGAAATTTAAATTTTTTGCCACGAAAATTTTGTTTTCCTACATGTTGGTCGAACTGCTTGCTATGGAAGAGAAATCTTAATTTTAGTTGCAAAGCTAGTTTTTAAACTGTTTTTCACTGTGTTTGCGTTAGGTTTTCTTGTATTTTACAATTTTTAACGAAGATGTTTTAAATTTTCACAAATTTTTATCTTACCGCGAAATAAGAACAGTATTCATTGATTGAGAAATATATCTCTGATTAAATTCGCGCAAATAAGTTGAAATGAAGCGCAGTAAAAAATGTGTATAATTCGAAAGGTCTTACAAGGAAGTATCTGCTGTTCATATCAGACTTTTTACATTTTATAAAGATATAAAGTAATCTAAATTTTTCAGTATCATTCTAACTCAGTTCCTGTTATTAGAAATCACGTGTAATGTAAATCTGCTCATCCGCAAATCTGAATTTGCATATTAATCTTTCCAAGGCATCGTTATTTAATCTGTTTAAAACATGTGAGATTGGATTCATATGTAAATTCATTTAAAACGTACCTTCTTGAGGAACAAAATTTGTATTACTTTTCATTACAATTCTAAGAACTGAAGGAGATAAGTTTGATATTCAAAACTAAAACAAATTTTATCCATTAAATAAAATGTTAAAAAAAATCTAATTTTTCTTAAAATACTTCAGAAAAAAAACCAAGTAGCTTTATTTTGTTTTTACTTTATTTTAGTACCCTTAAAATTTGCTTAGGAGATAACGCTAGCAACAGCTTGATGAACATGAAATGATAGCAAGCCAACAGAATAATAAAAAATTAACAGTGAGAAAGTTTCTATGCAATTTAATATAAATGTGGAGAAATTATTCATTTCTTCATTAAAACTTGGCAGAAGTTATATTCCAATATGGTAGCTCTTATACTCAAAAATAAGGCCGTCAGAATTCGACCTTTGGAAGTACTTTCAGATCCAAAAGATGAAAGAAAGTTTGAAAAGATGAATCATTAGAAATACCATTTAGCACAATTTTTATTCTGTTTTATGTCTATCATTTTGATATTACATAGGAATGCACACTTTGAGTGAATTAATACTGGAAAGTAATCTAAAACTTCTCGAAATTAAATTTGTTCCGGTGGCGCGAGGGAGTGGGAGTTTTGAGTCGCGTAGTACACGGTCATATTTAATACAGGTACACGGAGACCATTGATAATACAGCATATAAAACGCTATTTCAACTGTGAAGAAATGGGTGGAAAGATTTGAGGGAAAGGGAACACTGAACTTGAAACATGTAGGAAAAAGTAAAATGGTACGAACTACAGAGTGTATCGAAATAGTAAAAACAGCTATCAAGCAAAGTCCGCAACGTTCTACACGATGATATATCATGTCAGTGGGATTAACATCTTGGGGTTTGGGTAGAACATTGCATAAATATTTAAAACTCATCCATATAAGCTCCGGATAATCCATATATTGCAGAATAGCTATCTCAATAATCGGCAAACATTTGTTCAAACTTTTTTAGCCAAATGTAACGAAGATCCAAAATTCCTTGGCAACTTCTGTATGTCTCTAAGCTGTGATATTTCATGAACTCAAAGGTGATAGGTGAACCAAAGCTGCAATACGTGGAAAGATTCGATCCGTTACTGCTCAAGTTCTATAGAAAGCTGTGAGAAACTCCCATTTACAAATGCAGGAACGTTACCTCAAAAAGTGATTATGGATTATTTCAAAAAAAGTAAGTTGTTTTTATTTTTGTGTAAATGGCATACTTTTATTTTCTTATATACAGAATTACGTAAGAAAATATGTAATATTACTGTGAGTTACGGCATTTTTAAAATCTTCCACTCCAGCGCACCACCCTGTATTTTAGATAAACCTGTCACTGTAAATGAGGATGATAATAAAAAATTTCATCGGTATATCAAAGTATTAGATAAAAAGCTAAATTTTTAATATAAGAGTGTACATTCAAGTTGTTTTCCGCAGCGCAGCAGTTATGGATACAAAATACTTTTTTGTTCACTGTATTAATATCCAGACAGAAATTTAAAAACTTTGTAGCAGAAAGTAAATATAATAATTTCTTTAAAAATTACTTTCCATAGATAAGAAACGATAAAACTTTGTAACAAAATGTTATACTTATGTATTATTGCACCCACCTTAGTAGAAATCACCAAAGATTCAGAAAATGCCAAATTCTGTTAACCACGCGAATACTAATTATTAAAGTAACCATGCGCATGACAAATATTCAGTTTCAAACGTCGCCATTTTCATCTGCATTATTTTTGCTGTATTGCAAGTTCCAACAGCTTTTATAAGAAAACTCTAATTTTTTTTGTCTCAAACACGATTTTAAAATCCGTGCTTGTGCGATTTTCCTATAATAGAAGAAAAAGAGTTGAAATTTCTGCGGTAATACAGTATTTTTCAGCAGAATCGATAAAAGAATAACAGTTTGATTCTTTTTTAAAGCAATCGATACGAAATTTTCACCACGATAAAATCAAAAACCCGTTTGTAACTAGGTTTACTGACTCTTTCGTGGGATAAATATATAGCTGAAACGTAAACTATGTACGTATATACATTTTTTTTTTTTACATTTTAAAGTAATTGTTCTTGTTTATTAAATTTGTAAAATTACCTAATTTGTAAATTCTATTATTATATACTAATTTGTGAATTTTATTATTATATAAATATCTAATTTGTAAGTTAATCTGTATATTTTATTTATTTTTGTAAAATTATTATAAAAAATGTGTTGTTTCTATTAATTTTGTAAAATTTACCAAACTGCGCCAAGCTGGATGCAATAATACGTAAGTACCAAAAAATTAAATATAATAATTTGCTTCAAACTTACTTCCCATATATAGGAAACGATGAAATTGGCTAAAGATAAAACATACAAGACTAAATGATATTCAATGAATGGCGATGGCTTGAGCTGAAATAAAATGCGTTTCCTTAGTAAAATATTCATATATTTATTTTGGAAATGTGAACGTAAAAAACATTTTTAAACAGTGAGTGGAAAATCGTAATACTTTTATTTTTGTTTAGTTAAAATATATTACTTACATTGATAAAGTTCGAAAAAGCATCTGCAGGATAGATGGTCAAATAAGACACTAGTATGAATTCTGCTACGATTACTGTGACATATAGCTCTGGAAATAATAATAGTAGCATAACTAAGACATCAAAGAGCAGATTCTTTTTTAATTAATTTGTGACAAATAATATTTTTATAACATTATTTAAATTTCATTTTCAATAAATTGAGAAGCATTTTGGAAAACTTATTAAATATTTGAGAACTCTGAATTTTTCCAAAGACTATTTTATAATAGTTAAGTCAGAGAATCGGAAATTCATTATTGTTTATTTTCCGTCAGGTTCCTGATGATTATGCTTTATTTAAAGTAGGTCTAGTAATTGATAATCCTTTTAACTTAAATAAAAGAATTTTTTTCTCTACCTGCGAATGAAAATCTTTATTTGAACATATAAAATTGCTAAATTGCTTCGAATTTTCTTTTCACTTTTCATTGTTCACAACAGTAGCATTAAATGTAATTGATGCTTTTAAAAATATTATCTTGTGGCATCTAAATATATGCATTTCATGAAACTACTTGCTAAGCATCTAATGGCCAATCTTTAGAATTTAACTCCATTTGTCTACTGTGGACATAAGATACAACTCAACATGTAAAAGTTAATATAAAACTTTATTCTTCACCACTTGTGGAAGTACGACTAAAAAAAATGTTTTCTCTTCTCGTCGACGGAAATTCGCAGTTAATGTACTACATGCTGGCTGAATTACAAGTTCCTAAAAAATCCTACAGGAAGTGTCTTACGGAAAAATGCAACTAACAACTTTCGGAAGCACTATATCTTTGAATAAATGAAGGCTTCGATTATGAGTTGTAAAGTTGTTATCGTAACTGGAAGCTAAATTCTTGCATACCCTACTAGATAAATAGCGAGTTATCACTACGTCTTAAACAGTTCAAAAATTACTGTAGAAGGTTTCAAAGAATCTTTTTATTTAGTCTTAAACTGGACATAAAGGAACAACTTGTGCGACTTCCACTACTTATGGATATTTAAATTAATATAACAGATAATTAAATCCAAACGTTGATAGCGTAGTATAAGACTACACATTCAATACATCAAAATATTTATGGCTCAGAATGTTTTACCGGTGAGTAATTTAATGTATCGGCTGGCGAGATGCTGAAGCCGGAACGTAACATTTAAACGTAGCTGGCGAAAATAATAACAAGAAGACTCGGTTGCCAAAAGCTGTAAGCTATAAATTCAAAACTCTATGCTTAAATATCCGAAACTTAATTTAGATTTTGGTGAGGAATATGGAAAGGAGAAGTTGGAGTGTCTCACTTATTTTGGTAACGTACACTAAGTCCAAGACTCTTAAGTAGACCTATGTGACTTATTGCTATGTCTAGATAAGCAACAGAAACGCTAGAGATATAAAAGACCCTTTTATTAAGAACTCAATTGATAGAAGGCATTACTTACTCGTGCTTACAAACTAGCCAGGATTTATGCCATGAACTAAAAAATAGAATTTTAAATTAAAACTAAATCTAAATCCTATTCAGATAAAAGTTCCGACGAGAAATTCTAAACGCGCGACTTGTCACTAACATACACCGGCATGAAGCACAATCTGCAAGGATGCAGCACTGCGTAGATAGTAGTGTTATCGTATAACAACAACTAGTAACGTGACCCTCAGCAGTAAAGCAGGTGGAACACGCTCTGAATAAATCAACCTCAAACACTTGCTTAAATATACGAAAGCTAAAATATGAATTCTGGGAGGAAAACGGAAAGGAAAAAGTGACAGCAAAGATTCGTAACATAAAATAACTGTTTAATTAACATAAGTACCTTGAAAACGTTTAGTAAGGACTTAATCATTCTAACTGGTTAATTAGCATAAAATAACTTACAGTGCAATAGTCTTTCTTAAAATGTACCTAAAATCGTAACATGTTCGATAAAGCTTTAATTTCTATATACCTTATGACAGCGATACAATTACATACATTTCATTTTCTATTTATGGAGTTTACTAAATCGTTGTTTATAAATATATATACCAGCTTCATAATTTCTTAAATGAGAGAGTAAATGTGACCTGAATCCGCCTGCCTACAGCGATAGATTTCCTTCTCAGAAAGGTTAATTTGTTGCTCATTTATTTCAAGAAATATGCGAGTGAACATTTATCTTTGTCTAAGACTAAATTTAAAGCAGATTATCATTTTCATAAAGGATCTTTATTTTATAGGTAAATCATCTTATTGGTGAATAAATTAAAAAGTAAATATGTTTTGACAGGAAAAAGGAAAGGCAGTAAAAGCGCATTTTGGGCAGAAAAAATTCATAATATAATTTTTTTTATTTCAAAAGAAAGAGAAAGAATCAATGGAAAACTTGTTCTTAAAAGTTTGCTTAAAATTTGTATTCATAGGGTTTTTACAACAAGCAATTATATCATCACAAAATGCTAATGGCAATTAAAAAAAACATGGCTTACTATTGGAAAGGAAATTCTTCCTATATGGTGGTCCCGGAGCGAAAATAACTGCAGCAATCACATACGACATCATATTCACAGTGAGTATAGCAGTTCCGGAATGTGATGCGGCTGGAGTGTGTGTATTATCCCTGTCATAGATGAAAGGCTCATACCTTATAGAAAGAAAAAAAAATATTCCAGATTCCGTTACGTTTTGAACTCAGTCTTGATATAAAAAATTTTATTAAGTTGACAGCGATTTAAATTTCAAGTGCACATGATCTCAAAATTTGATGGAAATGATCGTAAGGCAAAGCTGCATACATATCTAATCGGTACGATCTACATTTACTATAATTGACCTTTCGTAACCTAAAGCAAAGGGAGGTTAAAATTAGTAATCGTTGTAATAAATGTGAATTTAATATATTTTCAACAGTGGGGATTTTTTTCGCCAGTCATTTTAATAGTCATTTGCTATAATGAGCAATCGTTATAACGAGCGTTGACTAGTATATAAAATCAAATTTGGCTTCGGAAGAGTATGTTGTTCAATTTAATTAAATTTGAGTTAAAAAAAGTTTTTCATGTGAATAATTAAGATCCAAAAATTAATAAATTCAGAAATAAAAGAACTCTAAATCTTATACGTTCTTCTGAAACGAATACTACGATTACAATCAAAAATATTTCAAGGAATCAAGATCTTCCTCGCGTGTGCTCCTGTTGAATAACGATCAGCATAGCGAAACGATTTTCGGAGGACATGTATTCAGTCATGGGCAAGAAATAGCTAATTTTGTTTCTACTATGCTTAGCTTATGAGTTTTCCTAATACGAGCTATAAAATTAATACGGAGTAAAAAAGCACTGATTTCAGATATGTAGTAAAGTGAAAAAGTGGGTAAAATAAAATATATTTATTCGAATTCATTGAAACGGTTTACAGATCATGCAATGTTGACAAAAGATATTAATGTTAGCAAAAGATATTAATGTGCTGAAGTGTGAAGAAAATGACTAATAAATAATTAAATAATAAAGAGGTCAATAAAAAAATTAGGAATTTTGGGTTAGTAGCTGCCTATATGATATGCGATGACATGGGCTGGAACACATACCTGATAGCTTGGGTTCTTGCCAAAAAGGGACATTTTTTTACCGCAAAATTGTAATCTACTATAATTAAAGTTATTAGCCCAAAAGGGAAATTTATCCAGAAGAACTATTAATTTCATTTTGGGATTTTGCACTGGTTCACTAAAAATGTCTGAATCACTTTCAAAATTGTTGCCACCAAATATTAGAATCCTGCATTATATTTAAGAAATTAAATAATGAAGAATCTGCATGAGTGTATGCAAGTTTATCGCATTGTGAAAAAACAACGCTACCTAGAGACATCCAATTTTGAATAACGTAGTCCTCCACTCGATTATACGCATCTGGAAGCTCAAATTTGGAATGTGCAATTTATTATCTATTTGGCATTTTGTTAAAAATTTTGATTAAGAAACTCAACGATTTCAAAGCGTTCCATTAACATTAACATTAACATCGCGTGCATCTTCAACACAGATATTTTATGTTTGAGGTTTCTTTTTCGTGATACTGCTGTTGAATTGACTTTTATGGTTTGAGTGCGAAAACCATTATATTTAATAAATAAAGGTAACACACAAACGTTAAAAAAAAGTCCCTTTGGGCGTAATATAAAATCTAAAGCTTTCGGGATTTTATTGTTATTAGTCCAAAGGGGCTTTGTCCCTGAAGGACAGTTTTCGTTTCGCCATTTTGCGTCGATTCTCTGCAAACGGCGAGTCACTTTTCAATCTGTTGCACAAAGTATTATCCCCTGTGTTATATTTAAAGAAATTAAATAATGAAAAATCTGCATAAATGTATGTATATTTCTCGAATTGTGAAAAAACAACTGTACATAGAGCCATCGAATTTTGAATGACGTAATCCTCCTGCGAATATGGGCATCTGAAACACCCAATTTGAAATTTAGAATTTGTTTTATTATCGATTTCCTATTTTGTAAAACTTTAACGAATTTTTGATTAACAAACTCAAGTATTTCAAAGCGGGCAATGGCAACGTTGTACAGAAAAAACATTTTTATCTCCAGCGCGTGAGTCTGCATCCGAAATTATAAAGATATGCCCATTTTAAAACTATTTTGCGATATTGCTGTTGAACTGAATTTTAGGGTTTAAGTACGAAGAAGTTGATATTTAAGAAATAAATATAACACACAAAATATTAAAAAAACGCCCCTTTGGACGTAATTTAAAATCTGAAACATTTCAGATTTTCTTTTTTATCATTATTGTTGTTGTTGTTTATTTTGAAAAATTACCTAAATCTGAAGAAAGGTAAGTTGAAATAAGAACATAAGGAAAGACGTTGTGGTGTAAGTGGAGTAAGGTTAAGTTAGTATTACAAACTTTTAAAAGATACACAGAAAATTTTAATAAGGTATGTGACCACCCTTACAAGCATTCCAGCTATTTTCCATTGGGATTGACCAGGAATTCCTTTAGCAACAAATTGTATTCCCTGTAAAAAGCGTCGCAAAGCTGCTAGAGAAGGCTAGCTCAGAGTTGTAGTGTTCCGATTCAGCATCCTAGTGCTTATTACACATGTTACATCGAATTTATGTCCGAAGAATCTGCGAGCCAGTTCTTCCGTTTGATTCCTTCGCTCTCAGTATAATTGGTCACTACTGGACGCGAGGACAGCAGACATTATCGTTCATTAGAAGAAAGTTTATTACCGATTGAGCCCTTAAACAACTTTAAAAAAGAATAAAGAATTTTATTATTGCATATTTCAGCATTTATAGTTGCACTCGTAAAAAGATATAAATCGGTTTGGCCATTCAAAATGATGCTCATCCACACCATGATTCCGCCGGATTTCCATCGAGGCTTTTACGGATGTTTTCAGGCTAATTGCGAGGGCAATACGTCTGTAATCACTCACCAATAGAAAATTTGTCGGCAAAGACGTTTTTTAATACAGATCTGCCTCTACGATATGAAATGATATCTGCTGGAAACACATACCCGATAGCAAACAAAAATGACTCATCAGTAAAGAGAATTCGGCTCCTGTTTCTGATCAATTGCGTTGATCTCTGCACAACTGCAACCGGGAACATTTCGATATCCGAACTAATAGGATTTGGCTTCCTTGCATATAGACGCTTTTCATGCAGGATCGCTGTCACTGTATGTCCCTATAGTTCATTTCCTGTAGTTATAGCGGACTTCCTTGCAATTTGAACTGATGTCAGTTATCTGTTCCTTTTAGCAATGTAATAAATAACCAATAACGGTCTTGAGACTCAGTTGTAGCACGTTGACGACCTTCAGCTGCTTGTCTGAATGTATCACAAGTGTCTTTAAATGATTTCCAGATTTTTGACATGACTGTTTCGACTACATTTAGGTCTTTATAAAACAAAGTCAGCGTCAATCCTGCTTTATTTCTTACAACCGCATGTCATTTCTCACAATCCAGCAAATGCTTTTTCAGTGATATATTCCAACTTCCACGTGTGAAACTTTTACCCTAGCTACTTCACACAACCCTTAAAATTAAAATATGAAGCAATTATTTGCACTCCAGTGCACGAGTGCTCAATGAGTAGGCGGATAAAATTGCATATTTGTATGCAACGAAAGTGAGTCTCATTGGATAACGTCATAACGCTGTCTTTGAGCTACTAACCAACTACTACTCTTAGACTCCACTTACGAAGAGCTGTGTCTCCACAAACTCTTAACAGACAACTACATATATGTGAGCTAAATGCAAGACGACGAGTGGTTTCCGTCCACAAACGCACTCACAAGCTTTCAATCCTGCAAAGGTTACTGATATAAAATTCCGCATAGAAGGATGTCCCTCACCATCATGTATGGAATATATACTGGTGGACAAAATTAAAATATAGAGCACTTTTTCCAAAATATCTCAATAAATACTTGATAGAAATAAATGAAATTAGATACGATTATAGTTTATTGTATGGCAATAATGTGTGCAAAGGAAAATGCCATTCATTAGCATGGGTTATGGCCAAGACTCCAGTGTGGTCCAAACTTGGGGTTGAAAGATAGCAGTGAAAATGTGGTCACCTGTGACAGACAGAAAGCACGCACAACGAGTAGACATGCCATTAACAAGAAAGTTTTGGAGTTACTGTGGAAATCGCACCCATTCCTCCATCAGAGAAGTTTTTAACTCCTGAATGGTTCTAGATGGAGAGCTGGCGTATTACAATAGCCCTCCCAAGAACATCCCAAATATGTTTAATAGGATTAAGGTCAGGAGATTTTGCTGGCCAATTCAATCGGTAAATATCATCGCTTTCCAAGTAGTTATCAGCCAGGTAGGCCCTATGTGGTCGTGCATTGTCATCCATAACAATTAGCTCAAGAACAACAGCAGCCCTGAAAACTCGCACCTAGGGCTTTTGGATCTCCTGCCTGTACCTCTGGGCATTCACGGAGCCAGTGTCAAACACAGAGCGGTATGCGGGCATCTTCCATGATCCTTATTCAGACAATCGCTGCTCCACCACCATATTAGTGCCTTTCTATGATGTTGCTGGGATTATATCGGATCCCAGGTTCCCTCATTCATATCAATAATCGCCGAGAATCAAGTCGTAGACTAAATCTGGACTCATACAACAAGAGAACGTTAGCCCATTGAAGATATGCCCAGTGATGGTGTTGTATGCACGATTGTAAACTCTCTTTTTGTGGTATTCAAATAGCAGGCTTTCTGTCATGCCGTCCTTGCTCATAGAGCCTTCTGACAACTTGAAACTGATATCTCTGTGGTAGTAGCGAGGTCAGCTACTGTCACAGGGACACTACAGCTGTGTGACTGTAGACGTCATCTGGAGCTTGGCTGAAAGTACCAAATACAGGTCGTTATTGGTCATTGTGTTTCTCGGGCAACCTTGTCCTGTTGTTCTAGACACTGTCCCGCTGTTTTTTAATTGACTTCACAAATTAAACATGATACTTCGCGCTACATCCAGTTCTCTTATAACCTGAGCTTGGGATTGCCCTCCCTTAAGCCTACCCACGATTCACCATCTCATATTTTCTTTTATGTGGTTATGTGTACTTATTTCACCTAAAGCACAGCTAACAACAATAAGATTATTCAAGAAAGACGATACAATTCACTTCCGTTTTGCAGAACGGAATAAACTGAGCAGCTGAACGCGGACTTTTATACCTTCTGCTGGCGTAGTTACGCCCACAGGAATACGTAAACTCATCTCAGTGACACAAGCGACACAGTGACATTCTATGGAAACCAACCAACCAACCGTCTAGATTTTGTGTAATATTTTAGAAGAAATGTAGGAAAATGTTTTCCAGCTCTTAATTTTGTCCACCAGTGTACTTGTAAGATATGAATCCCAACGATCTTGTATGGAATCTCCATAACTTTCCTTTCTTTTGGAATTATATAAAAAATACCTCGTAAAGATTTCATAACGAAGAAAATTATAATTACAATAAGCATATTTTTTTTATATCTCTCAACTGCGGAACTTTCGCGAAACACGAATATCTTTTTTAATAGATGCAACTGTCCCAAACCGCTACTGGTTAAAGGGGGAGAAAAATTAACAACTTTAAAAACGTTATGTTATTATGTTACTTTATGTTAATTCTATTATGTTACTTTTTGTTAATTCTATTATGTTACTTTTTGTTAATTCTATTATGTTACTTTTTGTTAATTCTATTATGTTACTTTTTGTTATTCTATTATGTTACTTTTTGTTAATTTTATTATGCTACTTTATGTTAATTATATTAACAACAGTGAAAGGTGGAAATAAGTTGATGTGCAGTGCTTTAAATAATAAAATGTTAAAAGGCTGAGGAATAAGTCCGATGCTTTAAAATACATTAAAATCTGTATCGCGTCATCAAAACAATGTAATAGAAAAGCATGCACTGCGATTATTTGTATGATTCGAAATTTTGATTCTTTAAATTCTTATTAGTTTATTTCAAATTACAGTTATTTACGTCATTTTTTCACCTGTTTGCTCAAAGCATATAACTTGTGAATGTAACGACAATACTCAGAATCCTTAATTAATATCACGTAGAAAAATAGTAAAATCATATGCATCATTTAAAATATTCTTTATCCAGTACACCTCTCTCATTTAATATAAACTTTTGATATAACATCAGTGCAAAGATTTTTAAATTAAATCATTTATTTATTACAGCGGGTAAATAAGTCTTTCTAAAATATTTGCATTTCATTTATTTGATTTTATCTGCACAGAAGAAAAATAAGAAATGCGTTCTTGAAAAATTTCATTTTACGCAACATTGTAATTTCTATAAGAAATATTCTTCGCATTATCTCCTCGCTCACAGATTTTTAAGTTAGCTTATAAGATATTTCTCTCGCCTTCTTATCATGCTTTCGTGGTGTACTGGTCAGCACACTCGGCGCATATTCGAGAGGTCCGTGGTTCAAGTCCCGGTGAGCGCATTGCTCATTTTCATGTCTCCGGCATCAAAATAACCTAATGTCTCTACAATGACGCCGAAACTAAAAACAAAGGTGGTGGAAGATGATTCTCCACCACCAGGATTTTGCGATTGGGTCCCCTTATCCCCAGTCGCCCTTTAAAAGGGGGATTCCGAGGATGGACGGCATGAGTGATGGTCGCTCGTTTGACGAGCTCCCGGCAACTCAGCTTAATGGAATTTTAATGCGAAAAATGATGAAATTGATGAATGTATGATTGATACTAGGGATCGGGCTCCCCCTGTGCAACCTGCGTCACCAGATGATGAGCGCATGCAACTGATAATACAGTTTTATGATCTAAAGCAGCAGTCTGAGGCCATACAACGACAGAAGAACTTCATAAAAAGAACTCCTTCACCCCTGGATACCAATGGATTCGAGCAACTCGACCAGGCGGGTAAGACTCTTTTTCATAAAATCAACGACATCGCTAACATCTTAGAAGTCCCGATTTTTCACCTTCCCTCGACCAGAGAGGAATTTCTAAATATTCTTGAGACCGAGCGCTTAGCCAAGATGGCCGTCGCTCAAACAGCAGAAGATATCGTAAGCAAGAGGCATCCAAACCACGGAGGTAGGAAGTACGATGGAGTTGCCCTAAACAAGTTTCTCCAGTACCCTGCTCTGAAGCACCGCCGATCCCTACGTGGTGACCAAAACATTGGGTCATTTACCATTGAGTTCAATGGGATTTGACGCGTTCGGATGTAAATATTTTGTAATTACGTCGTAAATATACATATAAATGTATATATTTTCTTTTTCTACAACACTTCAGAGTCCTAAGTATATGAAAACAACATATTTTTAAACAACATTTCATTCTGAACGGAATTAAATGCTATATTTTTCACAGGACAGTTTTATCAGAATGGTTTAATTTGAATGAAATATTTTCTCAAGTTTTCGTTAATTACATTAGAAAAAAAAATTATGGTAATTCGATTTTATTCGGTTAAGGTACAAAAATTAAGATCAAAGTTTATTGTATTATTAATATTAAAATTATGCATTATTTCTTTTCTATTTATAGAGCTTCTTCCTAAAATACTTTCTTAAATATGACATCATTTTTTTGGCTTCTGAGGCATCTTTTAAATCGAAAAATGTAAGTCAATTTATAATTAATGCTCTATTCGGTTCATTTTAAATTAGAGAATTATTAGGAATTAGCAAAATACTTTAAATAGTACTTGACTTTCTCTGAACATTTCTGAAAAGGGAATAAATAAGTTTTTTGTTTTTTTTTTTTTTTTTTTTTTGTTAAGTATTATTTAAAACTTGTAACCGAGTTATTATAAAATGTAAGGGTAATAATTCTTTTAATTATACTTATCAGATTTTTTTTTACCCTTCATTTCAAGAGTACCACATTCCAAAACTCTTTATTACTTTCTTAAGTGCGCATCTCATAGCATTTGCTTTGCAATACCTTTTAACAGATTGCTTTCCAATACGAACAATTCTGCTTAAATAGGTTTTATAACGTATTTGTCAACAGGATTTCAATTTATGTTCACAATTCAATATTAAGGTTATTATATATTTAGATAACATTTATAATCATTATAAATTAGATACATTTAATAATTAGATTTCACAGTACTTTCACAGTTGTTTATAGTGAATAAATTCTTCATTTCAAATACATTTATAAATAATTTAATGAATATTTCTGTATTTTGTCAAAGGCAGATACATGCTTTTTGCAATAATATATGGATGTGAAAAAAATTTGTTTTATTTAAAACATTTTGGCGTTTGGAAAATAAAGTAAAAGTAGCGAATACTCTATCAAGGGTATTGAAAGACGTATACAATTTTAAATGTATCGTAAG